GACTCCATAGTTCAACCCTGAGCCACACATATTCTCTTCTGTTGGAACTTTATGGGTCTTCTAGAAACTCAGGTAGCTGAACCAATTAATTTGTGTTTGGCTTCTGGTTCAGAAGTAACACTTACAAAGACTGTTTGCAGAATTTCCTCTAGAGCTGGGGGTGTGGATGGTTTCCAACTGATGGAATTTCCCCTTCCTACCTGATGGCAAGATGCTCTCTTGCTTTCCCACCATCCCTATATACAGTCACACCATTGCCCCAACAGAGTAACTGGATACAATTTTCTTTTCTTTTTCAAAATGTCTTGTTATAAAAAGAACCTGTGACAAAGAAAGAATGAGGGTAGAATAGGCAACATGTAACTCTACTAGTAAGGGAGCTGCATTGGCTTCCAGGTATGATTTAAAGTGCTGGTTGCCCTATATAACTCAGGGCCTGAGACTGCCTTCCCTAGATTAAATCTATCTGACTGGAAAACTCTGGGGGACAATGCTTTATAAGGATCCCTCCACTTTGGGAATGCCATCTTCAGGGATCCCCTACTCAAAGCTTTTCAGTTATAGTCTTCTTTCTATGGAATAGGTTGCCCCCAAGTATCTGGACCTCTCCCTCCACTTTGGGTTTCTCAAAGCTGTGAAGACATGGTTCTTTAGAAAAGCATTTAGAGACAATGAGGATTAACTTATCCTGGTGGATGATGCAACTAATGGAAGTTGGCTGCTATATTTGGATTATTCTTGTTTTTAATCTTTGTTATTGCTGGATGTAAGTTCCTTAGAGCCTTTGGGAATTGAATGCCATAGAAACCAGAATAAGTAAATGAATAAATTACTGAGAAACTATTGTTTTTGTGGCTTCCTGTTGACCAGCTGGATGGAGTTTTGCAATGAGCAGCAGTAGGGACACTCACTGATAACTTGAAGTTGCTGCAGAAAGTAAAAAGGGTGAGGCTGGTGATGGTGTGGAAGTTCCTAAATCTTGGCCATTCTTGTAAAGCAGCATAATCTGATGCCTTTCAGTTGTATTACATTTGAACTCCCCCAATTTGGGTGCTGTAGGAATTGAAGTCCAGCATCTGGGGAAAACCAGGTTGGGATAGGCTTTCAAATACAAACATAGTTCTAAGCACCAGCACTTAATTGAAGTGCAATATGGATCAGGGTAAATGCAGAGGAGGGCTTAATGTGATACCCTCTTGAATGCCAAACACTCATAACTGCTGTATGGCAACATGGATTTTTGTCTTGAGCTTGTGTAGTTCAGCCTTCTTGTAAGATTGACAGAATAAACAGAAGATATGGATATTCAAGTTCTATTCTTCTCAAAACTGATGGACTCAAGTGGTGGATATGTTTTGAAGATAATACAGTTTGAGTTAGGCACAGCCATAGGCCCAAGACCAAGGCTTTACTTTCTGCAGTTGATTCAAGTCTTCTTCAACATGCTCATTTTACCAGTCTGCAGCACCATTGATTTGGGCTCCAGGGACCAGTATTTTGGAAGTCATTGAAAATAGCACAGAATGGATTAACATTTAAGATGGGAAAGAGTTCGTTACTTTTACTGTATGATGTGCTGCTGCTGATAATGATGCTGATGGTGAATAAGGACTTCTTGTCCCAGTTTTTTGTCATTGTCAGCTTCAGAGATTTTGAAAGGTTACTCCCCTTTGGCAGGCTTTGGCTGCTTTTGATTGTAAGCAAAAATTAATTAAAAATTCCCACTTCATAATAGAACTGATAAGTTTAGTTGTAGGTATGAAGCTTGACTGAGAGGAACTTCAAAATACGTCATATTATAAATGCATAGATAGGTATGAATGTAGAATATGAAAGAGAACCAGATTGGTGCAGTGGTTAACGCACCAGGTTAGAAACTTGGAGACCATGAGTTCTAGCCCTGCCTTAGTCATGAAGCCAGCTGGGTGACTTGGGCCAATCATTCTCTTTCAGGCCTAAGAAGGAGTCAAGGGCAAACCACTTCTCAAAATGTTGCCGAGAAAACTGCATGGGCTTGTCCAGGTGATCTCCAGGAACCAAGACTGAGTGATAGGCAGGCAGGGATAAAAAAAGTATTCTTTCCATGTTGTTAATTCTGTTATCCAGTGTGCACACATTGTATGTGTGAAGTTTCCTGAAATGTTCTTTACTTAGAACTACTGTCCATTAGGACTGCATCATGTATGGTAGGCAAACACAAGGCTAACTATTATGGGGTGGTAAGCTGGGGGAAAGCATGGCAGGAGCACAGCAAGTAAAAGGATAAGAGGGAAACAAAGAGACACCTTAATAATAGTTTGGCCTTAATAGAGATGGGTGAATTCCTCCAGAAACAGTTTAGACTGGTACCAACAAAAGTGGAAAGCATTTCAGGAAAATAACTTTTCTCCTAGAATTTTAAATTAGCTGTTGAATTAGGATTAAATGAACCCTCCAGCACCCTTTTCATAAATTGTAATGCCACCAAATTTGAGGGATACCTGTAAAAGTATTGCACACTATCACCCCTGCACCTTTGCTCCATCTCAGTTACACATGCTGTTGCCTTCCACATTAAAAAAAAGAAGGAAAATAGAGAGAAGGGAGGGGAGGGGAGGGGAGGGGAGGAACCATTCATATCAGTGGGGTAGAAGAGAATAAACTGATCTTCTTTAACAAGAACTTTTTCAACATTTTGAAAACTTCTTACAGAGGCCGTTAATAAAAGGTTGTGCAAAGCATTCAGATGAGGTGCTTCATTATGTATGGGAGTGCAAACAAAACTTTCTATGTTTCATTAAAAGAGTTGCATCTTTTGCAAGGCACATCCATTTCACTTCAGCCAAGAGCAATTTCCAAAGCTGCCACATGAGCCCTGCAAAATATATGGCTGCTTTAATAATTTGAAAATTGGGGGGCAGGGGAATATTGTGTTCACTGTGTTGTGCAACACCTTACTCACATATTTTGTTTCTTCCACCCTTCTCCCATTTCCTTCCTCCCACCAGATTTTTAACCCTCCCTCCCTTGCTTTCTTTTTTCCAACACACGTGCTGAGATTCCAGAGTCACTCTATTAAAGATACATACATATAGGAAAATAAGCTATTGCAGTGATTGTTGCTGACATTTGGAAATATTTTACAGGATACCCAAACTTTCAGTCAGTGTATTAGCTCTTCAACTGTTGCATTCTTTCCTCATTCATTGCTTCTGGATTAACCCTTCCTTTCTTTCTTCTTTCTTATTTATTTGTGTATCTTATTTTTGACCAAGGTTTGTTAGAATGTATAATCTGGAAAACTGATGTTTACCATTTCTGATGTGTCTAATGCACAAAGTTTGCACATGTGGGCTTTGGCTGAATTCTTCTGTTGCTTGGAGTAGAATTTCGAACCACAGAAGCATTTGGGGACCATAATGCTTCTGTATATTGAAAGTAAGCCTTAATGATTGCCAATGCTTATATTCTAAATGAAGGTATTCTATCTTGGGCTGCAATATTATTCTGTTCTCAGGGCTCAGATTAATATTTGTGCTGAAAGGTGCCTTGCAGTTTCTCAGAAGGTTCTTTCCCCAGCAAAAGAGGCCTCTGTTTTCTTATCTTATTCTTGGTGGTTGTGAATTTCTTTTGGTGGATTTCTTTTGAGCTGACTTCAAAGTTGGAAATAACAGAAAATACTACTCTTGGTATTGCTGTATTTTATGCATCTTTCCAATATGCTAAAGCCTTCCCAGTTCCCCATGCTTCCCAGTGTGAAAAAGCACTATTGGAGGAAAAGGAGGGATTTTCTTGGGAACAAATGGAAGCCATGGAGGTTGTAGATTGCTGGAAAGATGATTATTCAGTGAAAAATTGGACATTGCTCAGCATTTTGTAATTCAAAAAGAACAACATATAATTGCATGAGAACTGCTAGGGAAAAATGCACAGCACTACTTCAGCCTAAAAACCCAGGCCACAACCTGAGGCTAAATGCCATGAAACTCCATCTTACTTCTTCATTTATCTCATTGCAAGTTGATGTACCTCTTTTTGTGTTTATGAAAATTGTAAGCTCTAAGCCAAGTGATTCTTACTTTGTGTAATGTGCTATAAGAGTGTTGGCCTTCTAATTTTATTTAAGAAAAGTACAGGGAAGTTGTTACGCTAGCCTAAAATAGGGTTGGGGAGTTTGTGTGTCATCATGTTGGGTGAACAGGCCAATTATTATACTTTGTTAATCCAGGGTTTAGAATGAGTATGTTATATGAATCCAGCCAAAATATAGCTTGAAAAGGAATACAGTTCAGCAGTTCCCATTTGGAGAACACTGATACTGAAGTTGTTGGGTCTGGCTCTCAGATTTGCTTGGTTAAACTGTATTACATAAAGGTTCTCTCTTAAGTCTATCTGCATCCATTGAAGTAGCTAAAGTTACACATTAGGAAAGTATAGAGTGTTTTAACTGTTGTCCCTTATACAGTCTAAGATAAGGGGGGAAAAGAATGCTAGAATGTTCTTATTTCTGTCTTTTAAAAATAGCATCCTCTGCTGGGCCCACATGGCTATTTAATCTGTAGTTTTGGAATTTTTAGAGTAGCTTTGATATAGAATTGATTAGTATCACTGGTGAAAGGTTTCTCATTAGTAATAACAGCTATGAATCATTTTGGTTATCAGATTGCTTGCTTGTCCTCCTTTGAAGCATTAGCAAATGCCTTTTCTAGCCTTGTTCTTATTTCAATTTTTTCCCACTTCTTTTAGAATACTGAACAAAGCCAGTCACAAATTCCAAAGGAAACGGTAAGAGTTTTGTCTTTGACATGTCAAGGAGGGTTGCAATGATTTTTGAATTAATAATGTTGGCATACACTATCAAAGGAAGTTTTGAAGATAGCTTTGTTCACAATGTATACTGCAGGTGGCTCTCTCCAGCCTTAAATTTAATTTCATGTTTCTTACATTTACTGTAGCTCACACATATTCTACAATATTTTAGGAATTAGAACTTGTGGCCTTGATTGGAATGTACATATCCATATCTACATGCATTATTTAGATAAAATTAATGTTTTTAGCTCCTAGAGATAATTTCTAGATAAACGTTCAATTAAAAAAAGAAACTGGGCCCTCAAGCTGAACTACAACTTCTGTCATCCCCACTTGTTGGTTTTTAGGTCCCAGCGTACCTGTTCTTAAAACAGTCCAACAATTTAAGAAATAATATTACATTTATTTTGAAACTGTGTGCAGACTTCATTAGCATACAACTAGTTGTTAAAAAATTATGTAAGTGATTCAAAGCAGAGGAGTTTAATTATTATTTCAGTTTTGCTTTTTGAAAATATTTTTAATAAGAATTACAATGTTCATAGTGGCCAAACAACCTGTAATAAATACCAATTATATTAATTTGAATTTTAAAAGCAGTCCCACTCATTTCCTCTCTCAAAATCCCATGTTATTGCCCATGTTAACTGGGATTCATAGCATCGCATCTGGAGGGTTTCAAGTTGACACAGAAAGAGTGGAGACTTTTTCCTGAAGCATTTAAGAATTGAAAATAAATATCCAAAGGCTCAGCTCACCAACCGACATAAATATCAAATGCTTTTATATCCTGCACCAAGATGGCCACCACTCAATTACAGAGAGAAGATACCTTGAAATCAAGCATTAATTTCTTATTCTCTGGGTTATGGGAAACTTAGCACAGAAGAAGGAAATTTTGAGACCCATGGACTTGAATCTGGACTTGAGACTCAATTAATTAGAGTCAGTCACATACCAGTCTTGAATACGACTGGTTACCTTAAATCAGAATATAACTGAGAAGTTATTAGTCCATGGATGGACCACCTTACCATAGTCAAGGGATTCAAGTTAAATAGGGTACAGTATATGTGTGTGTGATGAGATTTGGGGGAAACTGAGTTTTTGCTTTTGTTTTTTAAATGAGAAATGCTTATTTAGGCTTACACTGTAGTTCTCACGCATGTCCCATCTTAGGAAAGGGAGGAAACTGCTGTCAGTTTTCAGCAGAGTTGGAGAGGGCTCAGAGTGCTACAAAAAGGGGACTTGGAAGTCATACGCAAGCCAGGGATGCAGATTGTTCAACCTTGCACTGGTTGACTCTGCACTTACATAAAAAGATAATGGATCCTTTGAGTCAAACTTGACATCTGGTAATTTCATAATCATGGTTGTCTCCCATTCAGTATTCACCAGACCTAGCCCTGTTTAGTTTTTCTTGAGAATTCAGGTCTGATCAGTGATGCCACCTGCTGTGGCCTGGATTCAAGAAGGCTATAAGAATCTGATCTTTCAACATGCACTAGTAATCTGACAATAGAAAATTCTCCATATTTCCTTACTTAAAATACCAGTAAAATATAGTAAGTTTTTTTTAAAATCATATTTAAATGAATAAATGAGTAAATTTACTATGGAGTACTAGTCCAGCTGAGATTATATTGCCTATTAAAATATTCTAGAGAAATGTAGCCAGCCAGCATACTTTCTGCTTTGCTACCAACTTGGCTTTGTGGACTTCCCATATGGTAGTTCAGAATCTCTGTTTTGAAGAATTCAATCCAAAATGGAGCAGATGAACCTTCTGCTAAAACATGGTGATTATTTTAATATGAAAGAGATCAACTGCAGTATGAAAAAAAACAGGAATTTGTCATTGCACTTCTGTTTTGGGATAATTATCTTAATCTTGTTGCAATGCATATAAATAAATTGTTAATTATGATATGAGAAATATATGCCAATTAACCTTTGTCCTGTTTTTCAAAAGTCAATAAAGTATTGTGCATTTTGAGTTGTATTTTTCTCTGTTTGTTTTTCCCATCCTGTGACCTGTATGTTAGTTTCACCTGCAGGGGTTTGGAAATACTTTTGCCAACAGTTGTTGGCTTCCTTGATTGAGTCTTAGTGGTCCCTTGGGAACCCAGGAGAAATGCAAAGAAAAGATACTTTTAATGTGATTTTTCACAACGAGATGAATTTCTGGAAGGGGCATTATAGGAGATTGTAAGAGATTGCTGTGTACTAATTTATACAAACAATATTGTTTATCCATTGCATATACTAAAAGTTGAATGTAATGTATTGCTATTTACCACTTACTAAGACTCATAATATTCAGAGAATGTATACCATACAGGTAGTCCTTGGGTTATGACCACTTGTTCAGTGACTGTTCAAAGTTATGATATGTTCAAAGATATGGATCCTTTGAGTCAAACTTGACATCTGGTAATTTCATAATCATGGTTGTCTCCCATTCAGTATTCATCAGACCTAGCCCTGTTTAGTTTTATAACCAGTCCTTAAATTTCTGGCTGTTGCAGCACCCCTGCGGTGATGTGATTGCAATTTGGGTGCTTGGCAACCAGGTTGCACTGATGATGGTTGTGGCGTCCTGCAGTCATGTGATTGCCATTTGCAACTTTTCCTGCTGGCTTCTCATAAGCAAAGTCAATGGGGAAGCTGGTAGGGAAGGTTGCTAGTTGCTCCTGTAAGTTGCTCCTGCTGCTTTTTTCTCCCAAGGAGCCTGCTACACAGTATGATATTCCAGGGATCTCATACTCCATAGCACCCCCCTGCCCGCTCACACTCTGTAGCATGCATGTGTGCCTGCAGCAGCTGTTTGTTGACCTGCCTGTGCTCTGTAGCATCTGTCCGTGGTCCCTGCTGACCCACCTGCCTCTGTAGCACCAACCTGCCCCCACTCCATAATGCCCACCCACAGTCCCTGCTGACCCACCCACGCTTCATAGCGCTTGCCTGTGGCAGCCCCCCACCACACACATACACCCTCCATGTCACTTGCGCACACTCCCACTCCTTGTCTGGAACTTCTCCTTAATGACCTGCATGGTCCTGGGGCTACGATAGCAACTGGGACTGCCAAGATTACCGTCACTAAGCAATGCAGTCACATGACATTGCGCTTTACGACCACATCGCTTAGTGATGTAAATCCCGGTCCTAATTGTTGCTATAACCCAAAGACTACCTGTAGTATTAGGGGTTATGTCACTCAGAACTAAGAAATCTTTTCTGAAATGTTAAGATTCAAAATAGCTTTTACTTTTGACATACATCAAATACTTTCTGAGGTGAATAATATGACAAAACATATCTAGATTAACCAAAAGTGAAACTTAGATTAGGCATTGGTGACATTACTACTTAGGTAAGGTGGAGGATAATGCTTATCCATGATAATATATTTAATGCACAGTCAGCCAGGTAATGAAGAATAATGGGCAGAGTGATCCATGGTTTTATATCCAAGCATGAGTTACTTGAAAATCTGTGTCATAAACTATATAAAGCAGGGAACCCAACATTGGAATAGATTGCTCAATTCCTGAAACTTCCTAGGAGGCTATGAGGGAATTTTTGGGAGCAGTAAAGGTCACCCATATTGATAGGATTATGTTTAGATCAAATCTACACAAAATTTAATGCAAATATCAAACTTTGCTTGAAGAAAAATTCTAAGCATCATTTGTTTGCCTCACTATCTTTAAGTGTGAGTCTCTAGTTTATACTATAAAGCAAAATTCATATTAGCATAAATTGGGGTTCTCCTATTTCATACAGAAGGTAGATGGATCTACAGAAACTGTAGGAAAGTATCCTGACAGTCAAAATGAGATATTTCTCTTCCTAAATTCCTCTTACACAGTTTATAGATACTCAGAAGTGACCAAAGAGAACCTGCCATCTAGGTAGGAGGAAGTGGATCAGTGTTTCCTCTACTGTACTCTTCCCTCCTCAGCTAGTCCCTTCCCTGGAATTAGCATCACCACCATTTACATTCCGACTGGCTACTAAACCAACTGGGGTCCTTGGAGTGAAGTCCTGTGAGATGGCCACAGTGGCTGCCTGGGCCAACTTCTCTTGTGTCATTCACATCTTAGATGGGAGCTACTCATTTCAGGCAGAATGAAGCAGTGCAGCAACTTAGGGCTTTCCTCAAGTTGCTGTCCATCCAGATTTACCCCTTGAAAGTGGCTGTCTTCATTTCACCTATTAATAAGGCCAAACTTTTACAAAGGGAGAGAAAGAGTATGCATGTGTGAAAGAAAGAAATAATATATTTGTGTTTGTAAGACAGATTAATTTGACACCCTGACACTTGTGTTCCATTTTGGTGTTTTGGTTGCAGATTGTTTCTTTTTTATGATCCTGTTGGTTATCCTGTTGATAAGTTCTGGAGGAACAGAACCTTCCTATACTGTTCTGGAGGAACAGTAGGTATTTTAGTTAAGTCTCTCCCCCCTAATTTTTTACTAGGTATCCACCTGATTTGTTGAAGTTCTGCTCCCATAATTCTTAACCAGCCTAACTGAAGGTCATATGGAACCCACTTCTGCAATAAGTGAGTCTCAGTCTAGATGCCTTGACTGAGACTGATTGATATTCTCCTCTGCAAATTTGTGTAATTCCGTTTTAAAGCTCTACACCCCAATCTTGTCTAGAAGTCACAAATTTAGGTTACAGGGGTTGCTATGGGATATGTCACATGGGCAGTGGTGCACCTGATCATGTCATATAAGCATGACCCACAATCCTTTGCAATTTTTGTTGCGATTAAACAGTAATAAATGATGGATAATAGAAAGGTTGAAACCATTGACTTTAATCCAAACCAATGTTCTAAGGCAACAATGTGTTTGAACCATTTAGCTCTTAGCACTGATATTTTAAACTGCACTGAGATTTATATTGCTTGGCTTACACAGACTTTGGTAAAGGTAACCACCTGGTTTATTTCAAAACCT